ATACTAAACCGTCACCAACACTCTCACCTTTCTCCACCTCACCCTCCTCTTGCCGCCTACACCTCAACACATTGACGTCAATAAGGTCAGCACAACAATCATAATAAACGTGCTGACAATGCTCCCTTTGTGTCTGCCACACGTGACGGCTCTTCAACCGACTCCACTCTCTACTCCAAGTGTTGCAGACGACGTGATTTGTGACTGCCACCACTGATGTACGCAGCAGAGTGTGAGATGCACAGCCAATCGGACAGACAGACGGTGGGACAGAAATGGGGTGCAATCACGGGTACAATCGGAGTGCGATGACAAGTAGTTGTCGGGTGGAGTCGTGGGCACTACACACTGAAGTAGGTGGTAGGGAGTGTGCGTGTTGGTAGTGGGAGGAGTGAAGGCTGGACGCGTAAGGAGAGCAAATAATTATTGTCAGCAGCACCCTATTATAACCACATGTCCATTTGAGACGGTGATTACCCATGTTATTCTTTCCTCACCCGTCACCCCACCACCACCACCTCCTCCTCTTCTTTTGCATCCTCTACCACCGACATTGCATTACAGTCTGGCACACTGTGTCCGTTCCCCTCTCGCATGCCAACCAACTCCACCAACAGTGCTCCCTTCTGTTGCCTGCACGCAGCAGAGACGGAAACCACTGCATCAACAGTGCTGCCTCTCGATGTGGTGCTACCTCAGATTGAAGGAGAGTGGTCGGTGCGGAGGGTGAGCAAGAAGCACCACCTCCATTCCCCATTACTATGCGTGAACAAAAAGGCGCCTCGACAAGCGTTCCCATTTCAGAGAGGCGAGGAGGTGACCCTTGTTATCCCCTCACTTCTCTCTTCTCCACTCTCATCCCTTCCCATAAGACTGATGCAATGAGTGAAGATGAACATTCGTCTTATTGCCCTGTTGCGTTGGTGACTCGAGAGCCAACATGTCAAATTCCTTTCCCACTAGTACTCGTCGGTGGGGCACGAGGTTGACTTCGTGGTTGCAATTGATTCTGTCTTCACATGCACGTGGTGAGAGGTTAAAGCAGCATTATGGAGAGTGGAGGGGAGGATGGATACAGGCGTGCTCGATTGGTGCGCCGTAGACGGCTAGGGAGGAGGTGGTGGAGGCTGTGTTGGAAATGGTTGCCAACTGAATTTCATGTCGTGACATGATGGCATAGCGATGACCTCTGACGCGAACTCGATCATCACACCGACGTCTGTCCTCACGATGTGTTGTGATGTGTGTGGCGCATTGGCGCAAAGATGGATGGTCAGTTGAATGGTGCAACATCAGTAGATGTTGGTTGAGGTAGTGAATTTTGTCTCACGTGGAAGCCGCATTTGGTGGTTGATGCACGTGAGTCATGGGTTGGAAGTAATGAAGTGGTCGGTGGTGCACATCCCAATGGAGTGGAATCTCCTCCTCCTCCTCCTCCTCCTCCTCCTCGTCTGCATTGTTTGGTTCGACTATGTGGAGGTCTTACCTCGATGCCACATGGTTTCATCAGCAAAATGCTGATGAAGGTGGTGCAAATGGAGGGCGTTTGGTGCGGTTTCGCCAATTCTGCTTTGGGTGAGGTTGGACATGATTGGATTTTGGAGTTGGCAGAGTTCGAATTGTCACCAACATTGGTGGAGCAGGAGTGATGTGGGTGAGTGGGTGGGTAAGCAAATGGACGACGTGAGAAATCATTGCGAAATTGCATATCACCGATTCACTTTCCTGTCTGTTATAGGCAAGGTACAGCCAAAATCCCCCAATAGGCAATGTTGCATGGGATGAAGAGATCAACGCCTCTCACACGGCTTGTGAATGCAAAGGCTTTTTCTTTTCCTGTGGGAAATGTCACACCTCACCGCCACCTTGACACAGCAGTGAGGAGACGAATAACAGTCAGAGAGAAGACGCTAAAGCCTCACAATTTGCCACTTAGTGTAGGTGGGGGTGTGGGAGGAGGGGGAGGAGGAGGAGGAG